TTACAACTACTAACTATCATTATAATATCTAATGATTTCATAATTCCGAAAAACAATTTTTTATAGCGAAGTGAGTGGAAGTAACCCTGCTTTCCAGTCAGAATTCAGAACAGGAAAAGCACGACAGTAGCCATTGCCGGTCAGCCCCATCTTCTCCGTTACGGGGAAAGCAAGGATATTGTTGGGGTACTACTTAACGAGAGGCCAGCGACTCACCGACTCCCGGCGTTGGGTCAAGATTCGTTTAAGCAGGCGGAATTGTTTTATTTTGGAGGAGCTTGGGAGTAAACCCACGATCTTCTACTCAGTAAGCAAAAGCGGCAGCCACCAAGCTAGCCGAGCTCCTCAATTTAAACCCTGAGACATAATTTGGTAAAGTTTTTATGAATACTAATAGAATTATAATGAAAACAAATGAAATAAAAAGGAAGGATCTCACCCGAATGATTTGTAACTAGCCCACTTCTACGTGATTCTTAAGATCAATTGTTCTCACAAATGGAGCTCCTTGATCCTGATAATAACAAAACCAGTTTCCCTTTGCTCTGGCCTCGTGAAGAAGTGCATCGGAATAAACACACCGTCATTGCAGCATCGTCGATGAACCTCCAGATGTTGGCTCACGATCCCCGTTCCGATCAGCTCTAACTGTTCCACTCTCAGATTCAAACATTGCAATACGCAAAAACACCTGTTCGCAAAAAACTTCACAATTTGTTAAACACGGTAGCAAAATTCAAACACGTCACTTCTTCAGCGTGACCTACTTCGATCTCATCGTTTGCTGAAGAAATATTTTCTATCTCTAGAACGTTTACTCAGTTTAGAGCAACTTTTCAGAATTGAAGTAGGGTTAACCATAGTTTTTTTAACACCTTCTTTAAACTAAAATTTCTCATGAAAGTCATCTATAAAAAAGTTGTTACAAAAACATTTTCTGTATATCTTTTTATTATGAAGGTATATTCAATTATATGTTTAAAAATGCACAAAGTAAAATTGATTTTATAGAATTTAAAAACATATATATGTCAAATGTTATGTTTGCCCCAATTAGAGGTACAAATTTTTAAGAACGACGTAGGGTTAATTACCCCATTTTCGGCCTATTAAGCACAACCCGCACTTACTCTTTCTTAATCTAACGCAGTTTAGCACCAAACGCAATGTTATTGTTACTGATGGCTTCCAAATTTATTTACCTTTCCGAACGTACCGTAAGATTTGATAAAGAGAAACCAATCGTTGAGATATTGTCAAAAGTCTAACACTGCTTCTTGACGCCAAACTTGGCCTACGGATTCTAAACTCGGCCTAACGCATTGAAACGCCATTAAAACGCCAATGAATTCACTTCGGCCTTTAGGATGACGATAAAAATTGATTCGGTCGGAGCGCTTCTTATTGACGCATAACGCATAAAACGCATAATTGACTTGTTTACTCTGAAATCATGGATTTATTTGAAGTTTTCTTCTCGATAGGCCTAAAATGGGCGATTAGGCCGAAGTTATTCTCTACCCTATTTACTTTTAAAAAAGCCAATAACTATTGATCGGCAAAATATCTAAAAATTATCTCTAGACAGCTGTGCTGAGAAATTTTCCATATAAAAAATAGAGCAAACACGCAAACCAAAAATTTATTGTATTGAATGTTAGTTGCATTTCCTATCATCCTCCACAGCGAATACCGCAGGGAATGATATAAGTTGACTTTGCAGACGATGCAAAGATTTTTTATTTCGTGCTCTGTCTACGCATTCGACTATACCAGTATGCTATTTATTTATAACATTGTAGAACGACGCACACACTTGCCTCGATTCTTTCCAATTCCCGTTCAGTAGAAAAAGCATACAGTGTTCACTCGGCTGTCGACAAAAGCAGACCACTCTCGATGTGTGCTACGCGATCGTCTGTTTTCTCGGCAGCAACCATTGTGTGGTCCTCCTCATTGTTCTTCATCAGCAGTTCTTTCGGTCGATGCATCGTCGACTTTGGAAAGCAACCGTTTCGTGATGAGTGTGTGAGTGCTGACCACGTTTTGCGTCCATTGCTGCAATGGACGCGCTCTGACCCTCGTTGGCGTACAACAATTTGCCATACAATAAAACTACTGGAAGCGGCTCCAGTTCTGATGGAGGAGGCTTTTTGGATAGCGGAAGATAAAGTGTTTATTGTGTTGTTCCTTTTGACTATATATTTAAGATGTATTGTATAGTGACCAAGAATCCTCGGCTCTGTAAAGTTAATTCGGTTGAGCCTTATCAAATAAATTAATAAACAAAAAAAAAAAAGAAAAAGCATACGAAATAGAGTACGAGAGGAAATGAGCGCTTTTTATACGCTTTTAGCTTATCCATATTCCGAAGCATGGAGAAATCACAGGTCTGCTAATCGCAACGTTCGGGGTTTGAGTCTACTTTTTTATTTTGTATAATTCATTTAACGAACTCAACACTTTGGTCTCCAATTTCCTTAAGTTGGACTGCAGCAGCTCGGTATATCTCATCCTCCGTTCATGCTATCTCCACTAAAATCCTGCGATGATGAATCACTCATAGTTGTAAGCAAATCTTCCATCCGCCGGTCGGGTGAAAAAAAACTGTTGTTTTAGACTCTAAGTAAATGACTCTAAATCAGTCAATTAAAGAGACTCAAAAAAATTAAACAAGGTTGCTGAGCTACAACTTTGAGGAAGAATGTATGCCTTTATTTCTGCAAATAAAAAGCAATTTTTATTTCAATGATAATAAGAACCACCCTAGTATTAATTAACACGACAATGAGGGCTTATCTGTTAGGAACAACTTTGTAGAAGAAACGTTTTTCTTAAGTTTAAATTTCAGGCTCTAAATTGATCCTTCCTGCACGCTGTTCTCAAATTCCAAAACTCTTGAAAATACATTTAAGTCCCAGTGACTTGAAATTTCTTCAATGTTGATAATTTGTCTTGTAAAGTTGTATTCAGATATTGCTAACTAAATACATCAGCACAATAAGAATTCTCCTTAATAAAGACATCATTTCCAGACGTCTGGAACACGTCCAAGTCAAGCCGGCACCGCTGTTCATTATCACCATCGAATTTCAGCTCTACCACGAACCTCCCTTCTGAATCAAAGGTGTGTTATTATTCCCCGTGAGTAACCCTCTCCTAGTGCACGCCTCTGGCAATCACGCCACACCATCGACAACCGTGCACGGTCGAACCGCCATCACCTCTCCTCTATACGGACCCCATGGGGCAGGAAATGATAGGAAAATTGGCAGAAAATAACAGACCCATCAACGTAAACACAATACAAAAACTGAAATCGGCAAACAAGAGGAAAAACGCCGAGCCGCGCCAAGCGATTCATCAGCGCGCCCGCAGATGATATGATTATTTTAATTGAATTAACTGTTGCCATTTTCACATGGCTCCACCGCGCTTTTTTGCAATGCTCGATTACTCCCAAGTCTCCTCTATACATAAATATATATATATAGCAAGTTGGAGTAAACGTGCTAATTCCTATCGACTTAATTAAAACGTAATTAGTGTGAACTTTGCCTGGGTCTACGAAAGAGACTATACGGGTTTCGCGTACCGTAACACAACGGAAATGGGCGTAAAGGTCAACCGGAGTCTTGGTTGATCCGGCTTTGGCCAGAAAAGCCCTAAACCCTGCCATCAAGCGAGGAGATGTGTTGATTGCCTTTTAATTGGATCGTTCTACTACTACTACTACACACGACTACTATTACTAACCGAAGAGCTGCTGCTGCAGTGGTACTAGCGTGTTCACACTTCAACGCTATCGCCCCGAACGCTACCACCGTCGAAGACGATGACGAAGACGACGGGTGGATTTGATTGAGCGAACGATTCATGAAAGTTGTAAATTATCTAGAAAATGAACTTCCATTAAAAAATCATTTACGCATGCAACCCTTTTGGGTGGCGTTGGTACCGAGGGAGGCAGGGTCGCCATAGTCGTCGTCATCAGCGCCGTATATCGTTATATTATTACCATTAATAAGGAGCTTTCGCTTGTTTTATGCCCCGACATCCAATCGACTTGACTTGACTACACACTTGTCCGGCTGCATAGTAGGGGCATGCACTTACATCACTCACATCACCAGGGTTGCCGATTAATCTAAAAATGTATCTGTATTTAAACAAATTCTTCATTCTTATATAAATTTAAGTTTAATACAGATTATTGATTTTTTGTTTTTAAATCATGAGTTTAAGCTTTTAATTAAGGTTGATAATTCTAAAAGAAAACTTTTTTGGTTAAAAACACAACTTTTGTACTCGCTTCAGTGCTATTTTCGTATCACCCTCTTTGATCTACCTTCTATTGAATATGCCTTGGTATAAAAAGGGAAAATGAGAACTGTCAGACGCATTCTCTTTTACTATGCCATTGAAGCATAGTGCAATAAGAAACATCTCTCAATCACTTTTCTAAGAACATATTTATTGGAAGTGATTATATATTTATTAATACAGCCAGCATCACAGATTTAGAAAAAAGCAAAGCTTTTTCTGAGCAAAACCTCAGATTTCAATTTGGCAACCCTGCCCACCACAAACTCGGCTTGGCGGAAAACTGTGCTCGCTAGCACACTAGCACACCACCTCGCTGCCATTTCGTCGTTGTGCCGTATAGAGCTGTAATATATTTGCCGTAATGATATATAATTATTTAATTACGGGTACCTTTAGCAGAATGTGGAAGGAAGCAAAGCGCGCGGAAAACGTGGCTTCAAATGCTGCTGTTAACCATCGATTACATCGTTTTCACCGATGTTTTTCTCGATTTTCAGTTTGCCTCTTTAGCTTGATTTTCCAAATCGGAGGGTAATTCGCAACCTTAATTGCACTTTCGGTCCTCAGCCGATCTCCCGGCAATCCAACACCTGCCGTTGACAACCATCGCACAACATCGTCACTTCACTAACCGAAATCTTATACCCTTTTTTTCCATTTGTGTGTGTTTTCAGACTACCTTATCCCGTTCCGCAAATCGAAACGCGTCCGGACGGCATTCTCGCCCTCGCAACTGCTGAAACTGGAACACGCCTTCGAGAACAACCATTACGTGGTCGGTGCGGAGCGCAAGCAGTTGGCCCAGAATCTCAACCTCTCCGAAACGCAGGTAATTATCGGGGCATTTGGTTTTGGTGTTGAATTACCCCTTGGGATTGGGTACAGACGAAATCCCTCCACCCACTGTCAGCCTGATCGTCACCGTTCGTGGCACTTAATCGGATTGTTATGGTTTTAAATTGTGGGTGTTGCCAGCTACTAGCAGGGCAATCCGTTCTGTAGCTATCCTTTACTTACTCTGAAATACAGTGACGAAGCAGGGGGTTGTCAAACAAACAGTTTAACTAGCTGATTATGGTTATCTTCAGTGCGAGCTTCAGTGCACTCAAATCCAAACTGACATCACAAGAAATCCAAAACAGATTTATTGTTTAATCTTCAAAATGCACATAATTCGCATCATGATACACTGACCCCACAATTATGGATCACTTCCATTTGATTAACACGCTAGACTGACTGATCCATGATTGTGGGGTCAGTGTAATCGATTCTCAAAATGAAGGAACAGCTGATCATCATCACTCAAGGAATCTCTGGGAATTTTCTTTAAATTCAAGGGAATATTTTTCAATCCTTATTCATAACTGCAATTGAAAATTTAATTAGGGTTACGGGATTTAATGTCAGCCTAGCCTTTCACTTCGGCCTATCAAGCAAATAACTCATTAATTCAGCAATAATACACAATCCACATCTGCCGAAAAATTGTAATCTGTCAATTAATTGCTCCTTTTTGGGACACATTTTGAGCATTTATTGCCCTTTTTCAAAGAAAAAGTTTAGTTAAGTTTACTTGATTTTCGATTTCTTGCCGCCATGATCTTGCCGCACTATTGCACCAACGAAAATCTACAGAGCTGTGGTCATCATAAAACCTGATAATTTCATGAATTGAAAGGACTTGTCATATGCTAGAATAGTAAATCAATATCACACTTTTCACTCTTACTACTAACATAAAAGCTTTAACGCTTTTAGCGCTTTATAACTATGGACCGAACATAAGGGACGTAATTTTGATGCTTGTTCCTAATCATGGCCTACGAACTTTATAAGATAGCTTTGTTTTTGTATTGGTGAAACCATTCGCGTAGTCGACGACTCTGCAACTGTTCACTCCTAAATATAGGAAACCCCCATAAGCACATGTCCAATTTCGTGAAACATAGCGGACCGTTTCTTATCCTTTAACTCCACTGAAAAATCCCATAGGCAAAATGTTAATCTTTAGAGCATCCGCACCATTGGGTTGCTAAAGCTATTTTAGCAACCTCCACCATAACGCTGTAACCGCACTGGGGGTTGCTATTCAAGTGCGTGAAATAACAATCTGTCTCTCGGTGAACAGCGGGTTGACAAATATAGTAGCGCGATAGCAACCGGCCCAAGCGTTGCTATCTATGAAATGTTTGTTTTATTTTCCATTTGAACATTGTGATATACGAATAAATTTGGATTTGGGACAAAAATGTGGACCCAAGGGACAGCAAAGCATCCCTCTGGAAGACCCGGAACATCCGTAAATGTGGAAAATTATTAAAAAAGGATTTAGATTTTTTTTAATCATCTTGTTATTATGGTGCATGAACGAATTTGGATTTGAAACCAGTATGTGCACTCTGGTAGCCATGGAACATCCGTAAAGAGGGCCAATTCGTAGAAAAGATCATACACACTTAGTTTTTTTTTGCCGAGATGGGCACCACCGAGCAGCTCGGCATTTTATTTTGCTGGAAATTCAGTAAAAAATATGTTTGTTAGCTGAGATTTCGGCAAAATTCCCGTTTGTTAGCTGAATCTCGGCAAGTTTTTCACTGAGATCCAGCAAAATAAAATGCCAAGCTGCTCGGTGGTGCCCATCTCGGTGAAAAAATCTAAGTGTGTAGAGCTCCGTATTTGTTAAATCACTTATGTTGATGCTACATTAATGAATTTGGATCTGGGACCAGCATGCGAACTTTGCTGGCCACAACCCGGTCTTTCGGGAGGTCCGGACCATGCGTAAAAGCGAAGACAACAAATCAAGAAGACTGGCAACTCTTCCATTTTCTCATACGAACGCTATGAGACAGGTACAATCGCGTCATCTGCCTTCGTATTTCAGGCTTATTGCATATCGCATATTAGCTTATTGCGTGCTCTCAACTGAGTGTTCTAGATGCACTTCCACAGTTATTAATTGAGAGCTTTCGATGCCTGTACCATTTGTGCATTGGTATAATTGTGTGGCAAGTCTAATCAGGGAAGTCCATTTTCCAACCCGAAAAATTCCTAGACCGGACCGGGAATCGAACCCAACCACCTCCAGCATGGTCATGCTTTGTAGCTACGCCTTTACCGACTGAGCTAAGGGAGACCCCATCTGCCGCTCAAAGGTAAATGCTTCGAACGAATTCGATAGCAAAGATTACATCCTCAGAAGAAAGGTTTGTCTATTTGCTCATTTTTCTATGCGTTGCTTTCACCTTCACTCAAGCGCAGCGCTATTATATCTGTTGTTTGGATTCTGGCAAAGTTGTCAGTCTTCTTGATATGATGTCTTTGGTAAAAGAGATAAAAAAGATTCAAGAGCTTCACGATTCACTTATTCTGAAGCTACATGCATGAATTAGGATCTAGGACTAGCACATGCAATCAGGTAGCGGTGTGGTTCTCTGAAATGATTTTGAACATCCACGAAAGTAGTCAATTCGTTTAAAAATCCTAGTGTTATTTGAACTTCCCCGAGGTTTTGAAACTTTCCTGAAGTTCATTAATTGTTCTACTCTTCCGGAAATTTTAATCATATTCATAAATTTGTCTGAAAGCCTTGCATTGTTTCTGAAGCATCGCAAAATACATGAAATTATTGAAATATCCCATAATTCCTTTGAATTCCTTGAAATATCCTGCAATTTTCGTTAAATAAATTAAACTGATATGAAGATCTCTAATCATCTACAAAGTTCCGGGAACTTCCCAAAATATAATGAAACTTCCAAAAAATCTTTATACTTCTCTGAAGGTTTAGATTTCTGAACATCTTAAAAGATCTCGCGATTTTCTTGAACATAATCTGATCGTCGCTGAAGTTCCTGCATATTTTTTTTGCCATGAAACTTCCTAAAAATGATCTCACATTTTCCTGATGCCCAGATCCAGATCTATTATGTGTCAGAAATTTAAATAAAGGTCTTGGTACTTTGATGAAGCTTCGAAAATTCCCTGAGTTTCTTGGAACTTCTTACAGGGTGGCAAGTGAACCAGGAAAACCAGGAAAACCAGGAAAACCGGCAAAAGTCGGGAATTTATTTTCACCAGGAAAAACCGGGAAAAAACCAGGAATTCCATAAGTCCACCAGGAAAATAATCTTGTTTGTATGATATAGGGTAAATGTTGGCTTCGGCACCCATTGACTGTTTTCGGCAACCAAAATTTAAACGTTAATTTCACTATGTTTTCCCATCAACGCACTTCCCTGAATGTGTCCAAACGATTGTTTAGCCTTTCAGCTTCAATCTGATTATATTTGAACGATCGAGCAATCCAGTAATGCTACATTTTTCTTCAAATAAAGCATACGCACTACAAAATGGGGTTGATTTCGAGTTGCCGATAATAGAACAGCTGGTTAACACGCAGTTCTAATGGGAAGGTTGCCGAAGAAAAAGAGGCTGCCGACAATAGTCACACTCACCTGAGAAGTTTGGAGCGTTGTAAAAACGCTTTCAAAACGTTTTTAAAAATTCTGTCGATTGGAATGGATAGAGAAGCAAGCAGCAGATGAATGTAAACAAACAGACACATCATATATGTGCGTGACGCTGAGAAAATGCTAGTAGAAGTGCAGACGCTGCTTAGATTGACGAGAATACGTAAATTCCCCTAAATAGGTTTTAAATTTTATGCATGTAAAAGTTTCTTTTTATAATCAGGTTAAAACTAACCATTTTGTTCAAGCTAAATCTTTCACAGAATTAAACATTGATGATCAAAATTTACCCTGAGAATTTAGTAAATATATTTTGTATTTATTTTTAATTTATTTTTTTTTCTCGAATCAATTGCATGTATGAGCAGTGCCGACACGTAACTACTTAGAAGTTGCTGTTCAACATGTTCAATAAAAAAAGTTCTATTTCTTAAAACTTCAGATAAGGCCTTCGAACTTCATGCAAGTTCTACAAAATTCGGGAAAGTCTTACAAGTTTCAGGAAAATCCTGTGAACTACTGTGATGACCTACGACGGTCAGGAAATGTCTCCGAACCTTCAGAGAAGTTCTACAAATTTCAGAGAAGTCTTACGAACTTCAGGGAAGTCCTTTAATCTTTGGGGAATAACTACGAATTTACCAAAATTTTCTACAGATTTAATGTCACTTGTACGACATTTAGGCTTTGCTAAAAACTTAAGGATAATCCTATGCAGGGTTGAAAAAATCATGAAAAAATCACCAGTATTCACTATGAAATGAATTTTTCATCCATAGTGAACTTTGATGAATTTTAATGATTTTTTCAGCCCTGATCCTATGACCCTTATGGATATTTTCCCGAGCTTCAGAGAAATCTTCAATACTCGTGGGAAGTCCTCTGAACTTGGCATAGTTCTCAAAGCTCAAAAAAGTTCCTAGAACTTCCGAGAAGTCGATTGAACTACAGGTAGTCCTACGAAATTCTTGGCAGCTCTCCAAACTTCAGGGGATTTCCAAGAAATTCAGGAAAGACCCACAAACTTTTGGAAAACCCTTCGATATTTAAAGCCTTATGAACTTCAGGGAAGCTCTTCTAAATTTAGGGTCCTCATATATTCAGTTAAGTCCTTCAAACTTCAGGAAAGTCCTCAGATCTTCGAGAAAGTTCTTCGAACTTGAAGGAAGTGTTACGAACTTCTGAGAATTTCTACGAACTTCTTGGTACTTATACGATATTTAAGAAATTCCCATGAATTCCAAAAAAAAAACTCCGAACTTCAGGGAAGTTCTAAGATCTTAAAAAAAAAGTCCTTTGAACTTCGGGGAAGTCCCATGAAATTCAGGCAATACAAACTTCAATGAACCCTACGAACTTTAGGGAGTTTCTATGAACTTCAGCAGTCAGTATTTTTAATAATAAGAGCTATTAAACCAGCGTTGTTTATGAAATCATTTATTCAAATGTTTTTGAGATCATGTTGTAATCAAAATTCCGCTAAATAAGATCCTTAATCGTTGACAATTTGCGGAAAATTTAAACAAACTGGAAATCCGTAAAGTTGTTAGAAGCAAAGGTTTGTTTAAAGAGTCCTCATTCATATCACAGTTCGCAATTTCACCTTGAGATAAACTAGCCCGTTGGCTAAAAAACTCAATAATTAAGTTAAAAAAATCTCAGTTTCAAAAACAGAAATCTCAAGATTTATGGGGCTTATAGATCTCTAAATTTCAGACATTACATAGGGCTCCGCACTAGTCCGTCTTATCTCAGCTTTTCTTCGTCATACACCTATTAAATCGCTCATTTTACGGGTTATCGCAAATGTTTCAGTGTAAATCGTAATTAATCTTGTAAGCAAAGATGTTTTTGCGAAAACCTGAGTGGAAACGCTTTGCTATTATTGCTCAAATGGTTTGTACCAAGTCAGTTTCTCATTAAATGAGTTCAAGTTTTGGGAGGCTAATCAGGGCCCAATTTGGAACCGTTTGAGCACTGTGGAGCGAAAATTTCAAATTTTGCATCAGTCTAATAAACACGTTCACTTCAATTCTGCTCCACATGACGTTTCTTGACACATCATCCCCGTTCCGTTCTGCGCTAGATATCAGACAGACGGTTTGAGGAGCACGTTCTCGATGACTGTCGAATGCCCAGCGGATTTCGTAAAATTCCCCCTCCCGTGTAGTTCCGGAGCTTCTTAATTTCCACCAGAAGTGTCTTCAAAAACTACGCTTCAGTGCAGACCACTTAATGAACCCGTGAACCGTACGAACTGTAGCACTACGAACTTGACCATCCTTTGCCTCCGATACTTCGACGACTCTGCATTTGACCCATCCATTCCGCTTAGTCACATCAACCACTAAGACGACATCTCCTGGTTGCGAAGGCTTGACTGGTTGATACTACTTCGTCCGTCTAGGCAAATCTGGTAGGTATTCCCGTACCCATCGCTGTCAGAAGCTATTCGGCAGGTGTTGTGCCAGCTTCCAGCTATCTCTTAGAGCTCCAACTACATCCGATAGTGGTCAAGTTGACTGTTGTACACCTTTCGTGCCATACAAGAGGAAGTAGTTGCGTGTAAGTGCTTCCCCTTCTGCAGAACTTCACTGGGGTGATGCGGGAGATCCGAAATCACTGCCATAGCTACCTTGACAGATCTCACCATTCGTTTCCATGGACCACCCATGTGCGGTGCCAAAGGAGGATTGAATCAGCAGCTCGTCCTTGCGTTCGTGAATGTCACGACGACGGGCGATAAATCGGCGAATGGCCATCACGCAGGACTGCTTCGTAATACTGTAGGCAACATTCCGATGTACTGCTCTGACAGTGAGACAGGTGAATTGCACAGTCCAGTTCCCACTTCGAAAATCGGTTGACATCGATCAAATGTTCCACTACCGCATGATGATGCAGGTAGGATGCGCGCAAATCCTCCGTTGTTGTCGATATTTTCCCCTCTGTCGGCAAGGCTTCTTCGGGTTTCCACAGAAATTAAGGTCCCCTATACCATCGACTATCTTTACTGAACTCTGGACCAGTACCCCATTTGGTCGACACGTCAGCAACGTTCTGGCTCGATCGAACTTTCCGCCACTCGTCAACGTTTGTCAAGCTGAGAATCTCTCCTATTCTGAATACATACAGCGAAGCGATGGTAGCGACGACCATCGGATTTCAACCAGGCTAAAACAGTTGCGGAATCCACCCACAGTAAACGCTGTTTTATAGGGAGGCTTAAATATGTGTTTTTGAAGCAACCAATGCACACCGCGGAGTACCCACATCTACTATGCGAAGATAGGCGACGCATGAATATGCTGTATCACTGGCGTCGACAAAAACATGGATTTGCATGTCATCCAGCGCCTCGCTGCTAGCTCCACTGAAAAAACATCTTGGAACTTCTACAGCTCCCGTGCAACAACTGACTCCATCTATACCACTGCTCTTGAAGTAAATACTTCTCCGATAGGCTCGTCTCAATCAGTGCCGGACCTCCAAATATCCTGCATGAGGATCTTCCCTTGGACTATGTAGTGCACCAATAGTCATGAGCATCCCAACTAACAATTTTAGCTGCAGCTAAGCTTATACAGCCAAAATTTGCCTTGTGCAGCTAATTTTTGCTTGTATAAGCTGATCGGCAGCTAAAATTGTTTGTTGGGATGTTGTATTAGTTTTCCAACCCCTGCTGCACAAACAAGCGCCGACATATAAAGAAATGAATGTGTTTTTGAGTTTTTTAAGATATAAGCGGAGGTGAAGGAATCGATCCATAGGTGATCTTCTCTAGTAAAATCAAGCATTTTACTTATTGCCATTATTCCCGAACCGGAGCTACTCCACTTTCCCGGGTCCAATTACACACGTCGTCAAATCGGCAACCACTTGGAACAAGGAACACCTAACCTCGATTCCAACCGCTCACTCTAGTAATTATTCTTCGCCTCCAACCTCTTGTCCCCCCAAGCAATGGCCATTAGAAGGGGGAGGCAGAGCGAATTATGACACCACTACTGTCACGCTCGCTTTTCGGTTTTTATCTAGCGCTTTCAAGTGTGACGGTACGACAAGCGCGCTGACACTCGTGTGACATGATTACGACAAATGGCGGCTTGCCGTCGCCACTTCAGCTTGTTCTCCGTCGGTCTCTACGGTTCTGTGTCCCACAATAAGTGTTTCTTCGCCATCAGAACACGATTTCCACGACCTCCATTTGGGTGGGGGATGATAAAGATCAAACGAACCGTCGTCGTCCTACTGACTGCTTTACAATTTTTCTGAGCATGATCGTTATCGTTCTCCCTTATGGGTGATGACGAAATCAAATTCATAAAAATTATGGCGATGATAAACGATCAAGATGGCCGGATCCGATTGTGATTTTTACCGCGTGTAATTTCCTGGCGAACCGAGTGCAAGGGGACCGACAATTGCCGAATTTCATCACGTTCTTCCCCCTTCAAAGTTTTCCTCGCACGCACAGAATGATAAATCATGCCAATCATAGGGCGGCGAAAAAATCGGGAGGGCTGCTGCGACGACATTGTCACCACTTTGTTATACAAATATTGGGTTTCCCTCATCAGCTTTACTTCCCCTTAGAATCCTTGCCCGAATCTAACGAACTTTTTTTCCCTTCATATCTTTTTTCCCAGGTCAAAGTCTGGTTCCAGAACCGGCGCACCAAGCACAAGCGCATGCAGCAGGAGGAGGGCAAATCGGGCGAGTCCAGCGATCAGAACCGTTCGACCTCGAGTCCGGCGTCCGGCGGAAGCTGTCCGACGGAAGACGACGAGGATGAGTTCATCGATATGGACGACTGCCCGAGCGACGAGGAAAACATGCAGCACAATGCGTGAGGGAGAGCCACTCCGGATTTGTTGTCGTCGCTGTAAGCTGTGCCAAATAGACTACCACTACCTACTTACCCAAGGGAGCTCCATGTGTACACACTTCAGTACTCCTACGGGCTCGATGATGATGATGATTGATTGCCGGAGTGCGTGTCCCCGTGGATGGCTGTGTGCGCCGTTGTAGATCTTAAATCGTTCAATTAAGGAAATCAGACAGCAGAGAGAGAGAAAGAGAAATAGCATTTGTTTAAAAACCGTTCCAGGAGCTGCAATTTGTACCAGTGATTGTTTTCTAGCTATGTAGGCATATTTGTTTAATTTTCAATTCAAATATAAGCGAGAGATTTTATTTTATCATTGTTCTCAGTAAACATTTCCCGTTGGCGCCGAGATAGGAAGCAGATAGTGAGACAAACCGATGTATGTAACGATAGGAAATCTGTATTAAATGTGTATATAATGAGTACTTAATAGCTAAATAATAACAGGAGGCTTAAATTGACTGTAATTTAATTTTTATTCTGCTCATTTCGAACAACGATCGGTGGAACCCTCTTCCGCACCCTTCTGGATGAGATAGTAGTTTAATTTATGTAAACGTCGCCGGGCGGTCGGTCGGCCACAATCTGGAAGCTGGCCAGCAGATGATGATGAATGTGTTGTAGATTTAAGCGTATCGTATATCATAAGTGGCGCGATGTCATGATGAATAAATGGAAGAAAATCGTTTGTAAAGCAATTACCTACTACCATTCTTGTAGAATTTTCATTGATGATGACCGGGCAGATGAATAGTTACATTGAAATAAACACAGTATTCTATATGAAATCGAATTCTGATTACTTTTGTTTGTGCTATGCGATGACAATCCATGAGAGAATGTGGCATCTTGTTGTTTTTTTGTGATTTTATAGTACGATAAACACGACAATAAGAAGCGATTTTGAGCGATAAAGAGAATCGATCAATGTTACAAAGTTCCGGTTGATTTTCAGCTATTGACGTTGATGACATCATTTGATTTTAGAAAGTTCAGGGAACGTTGTAGAGCTTCAAAGAACTCCATCGATCTTCAAGAAACATCGTCGAAGTTCAGGTACCTACGTTAATTTTCTGTAAAATTTCTCAAAGTTGAGAAAATTCCATAGGAATTTAATTAACTTTGCAAAAGCTTCACAAACTTTGTACAAAGAACATCAGAACAACATCGCGGAGAATTTTTTTTAAACTTCAGATTTTTTTTTAGATGTTCCTTAACTTTGCAGAATTTCATCAATTTTCAAGGGGATCTCAACTCTGCACATCTCAATCTGTGCCTAATACGTTATCTATGCCGACAGCTGTGCCCAGCGTTGCGCCGAACGCGCCGCATTGTGGCAATCAAGCTGTCGGTCTCAGTACCCCATGACAGAGTTGATAATAGAAGAGTTACGCAGAGTGAAGCTTGCTGCAACACTGATGTCGATCAATGGACATTTTTTTGATTTTGGCAACCTTTGTTTTTGTTTACACCTCGGATGACATCACCTGGGTTGTGAAAGTTTCCTCTAGTTTCGATAACAATACTTCCCGCGCAACAGAGTCAGTTTGTCTACTATCCTCGATAGGTAGACGGTTTGACAGTTCGATAGGTAGATTTGGGTTTCAGTCTGCGTAACTCTTCTATTATCAACTCTGCCCCATGAACTTGGCAACCCTGCAGTTATGACTTTTGAGATTGTTTGTTTACTACTTCAAATTGTTTTTTCAAATGTTCTAAATTTGCTCCCTAATTTCAAAAGATGGTTAGGCTATTATCGATCACGTTGATAATGCTGATGATAATGGTGTTGTTGCTATTGAAATATATTTCTGAACAAGAAACAATTACATTAGAAGCTGTGTTTAAGATTTATCTTCAATAAATAATGTTTGCAAATAGACTAGGGCGTTGCTTGACAAAAATAGTTTGTTTTTTCGGCGACTCTATAAGTGAAATGTAAGCACAAATGTTTGCTTGTCGAGATGACTATCATTCGATAAGGTTAGTTCCCCAGTTGACTCAATGGTGTAAAAGTTACCCAAAACCATGATGCCTCTAAAATGTTTGCCTTCAGGGTGTAATCAAGGGGCAAGACAGCTCCTAATCATGAGCAATTTCAGAGTTGCTTTTGAGGCACCTCGAGTAACTCACATTGCTCAGTGAGCAAGATCACTGTCATTTGCTTTCACACTTTTCGCATCCCAGCAACAATTGGATATGTGAAGCCGAAAAGCTGCTGTCAAACAAAAAAGGAAACACCCGGCTTGATGTGGTAATATATGGTAAATATATGTACCCCGCATGTCCTCCGATACTAGTCGAAACGATCCCGTTCCCATCGCTTGACAATCTGCCTCTGGACGTAATTGTGAACCGAGCTCTGGATTAACATGGTACCGTTCTGCTGCCAGCGGACATCCTCCCACTTCTTGGAGCTACTCTTGTGCCTCCTGGATGATCGTGATATGGTCCAGTTTATGTGATACACCACCGAGATTCTTTGGCGGTCGTCGACGCGCGTTCACTTACGACTAAGCGGTGTAAAGCTAAAATGGGATTTTTTTTCTATTATTAATTATATATGCTCCAATCGTCACAGAAGTCCATAGCGATGTTCCTGTACTTGGTCGGATCGGATTTCCTTGCACTCTCTCATGGGCAGGAGCTTGGAGCGAAAGCAGAATATTTGTTCTTCGGCTTCCTCTCCGGTTTTCACTTCGATTTTATCTGGAAGATCTATGATGGGTTTGAAGTCCGGATGAGGATCGAGGATCGTACTCACCGGTTTTGGAAGTGGTGACTACACTGGATGCTCTGGTTGAACATTCCGGGGTAATGGTTGGCAGCGTTGCCTTCGAAGCTAAAATTATGAATTGGGGGTTAATCAGTTGTTGCATAACAAGGAAGATATTTTTTATACCGATGATTTCCCGCATCAATTGGAAATCCTTAGTAGATATCTGAACACGAATCCTCTGGTTATTTTACGAGATAGACTGTATCCAACTACCTTCAGTTAATTCACATACAACTTTTCGAGACGCTTTTCGAGACGGAGGAATACGAACATAAAGCACAAAAAAATTCTTTGTATACGAACAAAACTGACGTCTAATATGCATAATCTCAAAAGGAGTAAACGGCGTTAACAGAGATAAAAACTACAAGGGACAGTCCTATGGGGTTGTACGTAATGGCGACGTAGGACTACGTGGTCTTATATAATAATTCTCTCTGTTTATACTCTTTAGTATGACTCGCTTGACATAGATGGCCCCCAGCGACTCAAGAAGAGCTACTGATTCCGATCAATAGCGGTGCGGCTTCTTCTTCCTTCTATGGATGCTCATGTGGGCTGCAACTCGCTGCTTTCAGGCAGCTTTTCGTTGTGTACTGGAGAACAATGTTCAACGCCACGTGCCGAAAGCACTGCTGCTGCTGTTGCTGATGATGCCGACGAACGGACATCACCACACACGATAGTTGGAACCGAATCCGATCAGCGGTTGTGGTCAGCCTTGATCGCAAGCTGCTTGCGAGGAGCCTTTCGTTGTGTACCGGAAAACACCACCACTCACCACACGGTGATTGAATAAACACCGTTTGGTGAGACCGGATGCAATTCAACTTTCAAATCTGTGTTAGCGAAATCGCTTTTCGCAGGCAATCGGTGATAATCTTAATTATCATAGCAAGACAATTTTAATTATCATAGCAGCAGTTGCACATTCGGGCATTTTTCAATGGTGAAATTTAAAAAAATGATAATGTCTTAAATTGAGCAGATGCGTAGGAATATTTCTGATCGATTGGTGATAACATTATTGAAATTGGTGCAGGGGCAGCTGATTTATCAACGTTCAAAATATTTCATAATTTTGTTACATGTTCCATTTTTGGTTTTCACAAAGTGTGCCCCCATATAGAAATCAAAGGCGTAGTCCTACTTAAAAAAAATCGATAAACGTAGATTTAATTTTGAGGTACATTGAGTTACTCGTGGCAACTCAAAAACGAGCTTATAGTAAAGCTGTCTCACCCCTTGGTTGTAATAGAGGAACAGATGTGAGTGGACAAAATTTTGATCGACCTGAAGATTATAATTATTAAAGTTTATGATATTGATATCTCCTTTAAACTTCATTTGCAATGGGCCGGGGTCAGTATCGGTCTAGCCGGAAACATCACACCAAGCAGCTGCAGTTTACCGCCGTAATGTTCTGTCTTCTTTGCTGAAGCTGCTACCATCTTTATCGCTGCTACAACGCCCTTGGACCGACCAATCCTGGTCCTCACGGATTCGCACAGCGTCAAACAAGACCTGACATCCGAAGGCCCGACTCATCCCTGGGTACAAGCGCCGATGAAGTCCGGGTTACCAAATACGGTATTCTGCTGGGTTCAGGGGCACTGCGGAATACCAGGCAACTCTGAAGCTGACTTTCTGGCTGGTGCAGAACCATCTGCCCCTCGCTATACCAACGAAGTACTGTTACACGGGCCTCCCTTAGCTCAGTCGGTAAAGGCGCAGCTACAAAGCAAGACCATGCTGGAGGTGGCTGGGTTCAATTCCCGGTCCGGTCTTGGAATTTTTCGGGTTGGAAAATTTCTCGACTTCCCTTGGGCATAAAAGTATTATTGGACTTGCCACACAATTATACCAATGCAAAAATGATACAGGCATCGAAAGCTCTCAATTAATAACTGTGGAAGTGCATCTAGAACACTAAGTTGAGAGCACGCTATAAGCTAATATGCGATATGCAATAAGCTAGAAATGCGAAGAAGAAGAAGAAGACCGTTACACGATGTCAAGCGCTGGATCGTGAGCTTTTGACGTGCAGTGGGCCCAAAACCGCTCTCCTTTCATCAAATCAAATGCATTTCATGTAATTTATTAATTATTTTTAAACCTATTGTCTTCAAAACCAAGACAAATCAAATCACATTCCAATCCAACAGTTGGGTCAAACCTTCCTCCTCTGATATATCCACACTTTTGAATAGATTATTCATAGAATACTTCGAGAAGTCTGTTAATACTTCCATCACTGCTAGATCAATATTTTTATTGTGGTTCTCTTGATACATCCTCTTCAGTTTTCGTTTGATCATTCCAAAGCACCATCAAGAATCCAAACAGAATGGAACCCAGGGTAGCACTGAACCGTTCAAGATTCCAAAGCCAATTTTCTACAGCATTCGAAAAATTTTGCTTTGTTAAAAGTCCCTTCTGTCGAGAATGCTTCAGTTAACCCTTCTTGTCCAATGAAGCATAACAGTGACATTCTGGGTTGTCTGACAAACTCACCCCTACAAATGAAACGTTCACCTCTTACTCAGTATCCTCTAGATCTAAGCATTGATCTTAGCTTAGCTTAGCTTAGCTTAGTCTGACTGCACGTATCGATAGTTGCACTCCGTGATTGATCTGAACCAGTGAAATTGTACAAAGAATCAACTGAATGGGGCTTGGGAGTAACCTGCCATTCCCAGTGTACATGTTCCAGTGACTCCTACCTTTAAAGATCAATAACGTCACCGGCCACGTCCTTGCAATCAGGTGGGAGAGGGAAGGAATGTTAGTGTGTGACTTTTGTTGTTTTGGGACCGTGTTTACCTCTGCATCCCACAAAAGTCACAGGAAGGAGGTTTTGTTAGTGGGTTAGGTTCGTTGGATCAGGATTCACCTTGATAAGTGATGCGATCTTTTGTTTTGTGTAGTTATTTATAAGTGTTTTCGATTTATGCTCTAAACAGCCGGCTGTCTAGAGATGTAGATCATTATTAGATGTGTGTATACCGATTTAA